CCATGGTATAACATTTACCAAAATGTAAAGTCTGATAGGTTCTTGCCAGCACTGCTGTTTTAATTGCCTCATGCATTCATGGAGGAGGTTGAGGGCCCTGCAATCTTCCATGTCACACAAACTCCTTCTGTCACAGCTCCAATGAAAACACCACATTATTCCCCTCTCCCAGGACTTTTTTTTTATTTAAAAAAAAAAAAAGCTCCTCAAGATCAAGAAGCAAGAAAACTCCAGAAAACTTTTCATATCCAAGTATACAATGCCCAGAAGAAAGGAAAAAAAAAAAACCTGACCCAAAACTTTATAGAAAGCATTCTCAAACTCCTGGTCTTGAGCCAAGACTCAGCAGCCTTTTCAAATATACAACAAAAACTTTGCATGAATTGGGGTAACATAAGACTATGCTTGTCATCCTTGCCACTGTACGCATTATTAGCCTGCACACCCATAAGCCAGATGACAATGGCATCGTAAGAATGTTGTGGATACTTAGAATACCAGCGCCCAGACTTTTGATCTAAACTCAATCTATTTCCTTCTTACTCATATGAACTTCCCTGTCAGCAATGGCAGCACAGTTACAGGTGCCACGACGGCCATGCAGCACACTACCTGGTCTTTGTGAGCCACCTCAATGATTTAAGGTATTTGCAAAATAATTTATCGGACAGATTCCCCATAGCCAAATCGTTCATCTGTGCTTTTTCCTGAGCTAAAGCAGAAGTCAATTAATTGCTTGCTTACTTGCCTAGGATAATCTAGATTGTGTCCCTGAGAAGGAACGCTGGTCAAGCATTAAAGAGTTTGGCATCCATTGTGAAATATTTTGCCTTTGTTCTAAGTGTCAAGAACTGTATATACACCTGAGATGCAGTCACTAAAACTATTCTGTTGGAAACAAAGTAGTGGGTTTGGGTCCACAAAGCAAAAAGAGCTAAAAGAAGTCATACCAGTACTCCTCACTGGACCTCTTTGTAGAGAGACTGCTTACCTAACTTTTCTGCATATTTTCTTAGGAAGAAAGATTATTTAGGCAGCTCGTCATCACTGACCCTAATGTTTTCAGAAAAGTTTTTGCTTCTGTCTAGTCCACAAATATTTTTAGAATCAAGTTTTAGACCAAAATAGAGAATAACTTGCATCATCAACAAACCTGCACTGGCTTTGCCTTACACATGTGGCATTCTCTCATTTGGACTAAAACCCTGAAAACTCTCACTGATTACTTCCTCAAATTCAATAAAATTCACTTTGCTCTTTATCTGGCTCTAACATGCTAGACCATTTTCTAGAAACCATAATCAACATAAAGAGAACAGCAAATTGCAATATGCAAGGGAGGGAAAAAAATAAGGTTAACACTACTGTTTGCAAAATTGGTAATCATGAAAAACAGTAAAAATGTGATCTATTACCAACTGTAACAACCATTACATCTGCTTGGATAAAATCACCTAAAATAAGCACCTGACCCAATTAAAGTTGGCTTCTATTCACCAGTGGAAGTAAGTTGAATTTTCAAGATTACATATCTAAGGAAAACTTCTTAAAAATCCGTTTCTCATCTTAAGTCTTCAAGCAACTCTCTCACAACCACAAATTCCTTGTGGATCAGCCAAATACATACCAAATAGAAACTGACTGTATCACAGCAAAGTTTACAAATATATCCCCACATCTACCACAATGAATGCCAAACATAACAGAAGCATCAATATCTATGACATTTATGCACATCAGAAGCCTGCATTGCTGCTGCAGCTGAGCAAAATTAAAACACAGCCAAAGCTGTCAATCTGGTATTACATTACTTCTCCTACAGATAAACTGGAGGCTCAATTTTGTTAGAAAATGAAACCTTTTAAAGACACATTTCATACAGCTTTGTCACGTATACTTTGATAACAAATTCTCTGCAGGAACATTCAGAATTGTAAGTGAAAGTAGAGCTGTAAGGAAAAGCTGAAAGGACACCAGAGAGCTCCCTCTAGCGTGAACAAGAAAAGGAAGGAATCAATGTCCAAGACATCAACTGTACAGAGGAATGTGTTACTGAGACAAAAAAAGATAACACAACGGAAGTAGTTAAGGAGCTAAGTATTAACCCCAGGTCTTGGGAAGTTGAGATGAGGTTGAAACATCAGGGCTTTTGCTCTACTAGAAGCAGACAGTGTCACAGAATGGTTGAGGTTGGAAGGCACCTCTAGAGGTTGGTCATCTAGCCCACCACCCTCACCCACCCCACAAGGGCCACCTACAGCCAATTGCCCAGGACCACATCCAGATGGATTTTGAATACCTCCGAGGATGGAGACTCCACAACCTCCCTGGGCAACCTGTGCCTGTGCTCAGTCACCCCAAGGTAAAAGTTTGTTTCCTTACGTTCAGGAGGAACCCTCTGTGTTTCAGTTTCTTGTCTCTTTAGCATTATCTGGATAACAAACAAGCTATACTGCTCTTCCCTTGTAAAATATTGTTATCTTAGTCCTCCACTGTTACAAGCACGTACACAATCATACTACAAGATTTTCTGAGATCTCCGCCAGCTAAAAAGCATTAGAGCCACCCCGGCTTGTAGGTTACATATTCATCAAGCACCTCTTAACTGCAGTGTTTGTGCTTGGTTTGGCTGGGACAGCCAATTTTTTTCATAGTAGCTGATATCGGGCTATGTTTTGGATTTGGGCCAAAACCAGCGTTGATAACACAGGGATGTTTTCATTGCTGCTGAGCAGGACACAAAGTCAAGGCCTTTTCTACTCCTCACCCCACCTGTGAGGAGGCTGGGGGGGGCACAAGAACCTGGGAAGGGGCACAGCCAGGACAGCTGACCCCAACTGACCACAGGGATTTCCCATGACATATGATGTCATGCTCAGTTATATAAGCTGGGGGAAGAAGAAGGAAGTGGGGGATGTTTGGAGTGATGGTGTTTTTCTTCTGAAGTCACCATTGCTTTCCTGGAGATGGCTGAACACCTGCCTGCCCATGGAAAGCAGGGAATGAATTCCTTGTTTTGCTTTGCTTGCATGCACAGCTTTTGCTTTCCCCCTTAAGCTGTCTTTATCTCAACTCACTTTTACCCTTCCAGTTCTCTCTCCCATCCTACTGGGGGGGTGGGGGGAGATAAGTTAGTGAGCGGCTAGGTGGGGCAGAGCTGCCAGCTAGGCTTAAACCACAAAGTCCTGATGTCATAAAGTAAATATTTAACTACAGTCATCATTCCTCCAAACAGTTCTCCTTATTTCACACATCAGAGGTTTCTGTTTTTCTCTGGGGAATATCTGATCACTTCCACCAGCGTTATCCAATACCCTTATGCTAATCTTTCCTGCTTCCGTATACAGAAGTCACTCCAGCACTTAAATAAATAACACAGCCCAGAGTCACCACAGGAGATCTGCTAGCACAGACAGAAGTCACTCTCAGTACCTGGATTTCCTGGTAGCAAAATCATTCCACTCATGTGTCTCAAAGAACTCCTTTGGTATACAATTTTTAACCCAACCCATCCCAAATTCTTCACATATTTAATGTTACCAGCACACTGTGTTAACTTTACCTTTTAAAAGGCTTTACAAAGTACTGCTTCTTGTCCTTGCCAAGCGCCACACATGGTTTGGGAACACACTCTTAAAGCACAGTGAACTACTCAACTGCTGCTCTCTTGTCCTGGGGGGAAGCCAAAACAGCCCCAGATTGACGTGCTTGAACCCAGCCTCCCTACCAGGCTGCTCCTCTGCCCTGGGAAGGAGCATGAAGGGAGGCCCCCAGAGCAGGCATCTGCTAGTGGAGACCAACCTCTTGCATTTCAGGGAACCACATGTGCCACTCTCTAGCCTTTTAGAAATATGTTAAGTTTTGCCTCACTGATAAAAAAAAAACCCAAACATAAACCACACCAAAGTTATTTTCACATGTGCAGAACTTACGCTGGTCCTTCTTCCCCCCATGGTTAGCTGCTGCAATAGAAAAGCCTGGAGTGACAAAACACGGTAGTTTGCTGTTAGGTAAGTAATTAATTGTGGACAAGCAGCCAGTTACAAGGCACACCGCCTCACCACCCTGAGAGAGATACCCCCTCTCCACAGCTCCTGCCCAGCAGACACCATGCCCTTAGACCAAAGGCTTTACTTCTGGGGAGTAAAAAGCCAAACCAGGTTTTCAGCATCATAATTAACCAGGAGGAAAAAAAAAAAAAACCAAACTAAAAAGAAGTCTGTTTGAGCAGTAAAACATGTTCACAGAAGACTAAAGGCCTGCTACCTTGTTCCCAGCAGGGTGCCGGGGGCGAGCTGAGGCGACAGGCTTCTGAAAACGCAGCCCGGGCCGAGGGGGGGGCAGCCCGGGCCGAG